AATATAAATATAAAATGTAATTGAGAAAGTTTGTTCTACAAAATAATCCTTCAGTTAAAAACACCCACCACCACCACTACCACCACCACCACCAACAAAAACAGTCTAATGTTCCACACTGCTTGTGAGAAAGGTCAGAGCTATCATATATCTTAATGTGGATTCGGCTCATCTTATTAGTTACTTTTGCCTTACTCTAACCAAGGTACATTACACACAAAAAAAGTTCAGGGAATAAACGTTTACTTTGTCCCACAGATTCAGTCCATTATATTGCAAAAGTAGAGTTCCCATGCCTATGACCATTGTTCACTTGTCAAGACCTAGAAATCAGGCAGAACAGGCAGAAACTATGTGTGATACCTTCAAAATCCCACCACTGATGACAATTTTGACAGCCAGTTCTTACCTCCTAACATCTGCACATTCTTCAAAATAGCACCATAATTCGGGGACCACACACAACCAAGCCTGTGAAGGATAATACAAATTTAATCCATAGCAGCGTGCTATTGGCAGTTTTACCCTATTTCTGAAAGGTAAACTACTTCTAAACATATTGTATTCTTTCTCACTCATGAAACCTTGTTCTCTCTGCCTACTTCCCACTAGATGTAGGAAACAGAAATAGAAGGATCTCTAAACCTTTCAAATTGACATACTCCAGGTTCAATGGCAAGTGATTAAGGAAGAGACCTATGTTGACTTCTGGCCTTCATACTTACCACAAGTGGAGGGGTACTGGGGCTACAAAAAAACAAAACAAGAAAACAAACAAACAAACAAACCAAAAAACCAAATGACCTAATGGATTGCTTCTTCCTATCATGTTAATTTGTATCTCCCAACTTTTTTCTCCTGGTATAACTGGATGGCATCTATTGAACTTAAAATCAGGCCTTTCCTCAACATCTTACCTCTGAGACTTTTAAGTTGGCCAAGGCATTGCCTTCCTGAAACTCACTTGAACAGACCTAAGTATGATATCTGTGAGAATTAAGTAAAATTGCAGTATTCAAAATATTGAACTACTAAGACTGATGGTACATGCCTATGATCAAGTACTTGGGTGATGAATGGAGGAGTATTGCAAGTCTGAGGTAAGCCTAATCTACACAAAGGATTTGAAGCCAGCATGGGCAACAAAGAGGTACCATGTCTTTAAAAAAGTTTATACATAGTCTCTACTAGATAAATATTTGTTAACAGAATATGAGTGTCAATATTACATCCAATAAAAGGGTTTAGGAATTGATGACTGTCTGGTGAACGTCCTTAAAAATGGTTAGAAGTGAAGAATGGCATCCTGTTGGTAATGCTCCCTGTTTCTTCATTATTTTTGTGTCTGACTCTTCTATCATTGTCCGAGCACCTACTGGAGTGAATGGCAATGATTACCAAAACAGAAATATATATTGTTCTCTCTCTCTCTCTCTCTCTCTCTCTCTCTCTCTCTCTCTTCATGTTGGAGCCATTTTGGAGATAGTTGCAGTCTTGTTTCTAAGGAGGCAAATCTATCAAAACCGTGCCCTATCAAAACAGGGAGCCTTGAGGAGGGTAGTGGGGCATGTGAACAAATTAGAATAAGGTATAACGATGCATATGTATGAACATACCATAATAAAGCCAATTATTTTGTATGATAACGTCTTAGTTTTAGACAACTTTAAAAAGAAAGCATTTAGACCTTCCCTGATAATGAAACAGATGACTAACTCATCTGCCATCATAGAGCCCTCATCTAGTAGCAGATGGAAACAGAAGCAGACACCCACAGTTAAACACTGATTCAAACTTCTGGAATCCAGTTGCTGAGAGGGAGGAGTGATAAGAAAATGGGGACAAGATCAGGCTACAGAAACCCACAGAGACAGCTGACCTGAACAAGGGGCAGATAATGAATCCCCAGACTGATAACTGGGAAACCAGCATTGGACTGACTCAGACCCCTGAACATGGGTCTTAGTTAGAAAGCCTGGGCAGTCTAAGGGACCTCTGACAGTGGAACCAGGATGTATCCCTTGTGCATAAAAGGACTTTGGGAGCACATTCCCCATGGAAGGATACTCCCTTAGCCTAGAGGCAGGAGGGAGGCCCTAGTCCCTACTCCAAATGACTTGACAGATTTTGCTGATCCCTCCTGGAGGGCATCACCCTCCCAGTTGTGTGGGGGGATGGGATGGGAGGGGTTGGGGGAAATGGGAAGGAGTGTGAACTAGGATCAATATGTAAAATAAGAAAAAAATAATAAAAAGAGAAAACATTTAATGTGGAATGATTCTCCATGGTTAGATTCCATGACCATTTCAGTGGGAAGTGTGGGCTTAATCAGCCAGACATGATTCTGGAGCAGTAGGTGAGAACTTACTGTAGGTATGAAGCATGGGAATTAATTGAGAATGACATTGGCTTTTGAAACCTCAAAGCTCCACCACCAGTGACACACACCCTCCAACAAGGTCAAACTTCCTAATTCTTCCCCAAAAGTTCCACTAAAACTACAAACCAAACATTTAAATATATGAACATATTGGGGCCAGGTCATTAAAACCATAATAGCCAATTTAGAGTAGCAGTTTTAAAAAGTGTTTAAAAGTCCTTTCTCATCTCTCTGATAACATTGATAATCTAACTTTCACTATTATTTTGGCTTGGCCCATAGGAGTTCAGGAAAAGTTCCATGATTTACTTGGTCGATTGGCAAAGTACTACTCCTTGGAATGCCTGACATTCAGGATAGGAGATAAGGGGATGGTTATTCAACAACAATATAAAGGAAAGTTGGTAGTATGACATCCTCTTGTGAGGAACTTTGACTTAGGTAGATCAGAAAAGCTTCTAGGCGTAATGAGATTTTATGAATTACAGAGCATTGAAGAAACAAAAATGTGGTAGGAAGTGTATGTATACATACAGATTCATGTGAAGGAAGCATTTTAGGTCAAAGGAACACAATGTGCATAGGCTTTATAGTAAAAGGGCCATGGAACATTCAAGACATCAATAGAATATTACTTTGGGTTTTCAATGGCAGTTGAAAATTTAGATGAGAGTGTTTTATGTGTGAAAATGTGTGAAAGTGTACCAAGCTCCAAAATTCTGTTTGAGTAGATCTGACATAGTGAAATTATAGTCACTGTGGTAAAAACACTGGCATCATCAGCAAAAGGTTTCCTTCCAATATTTCCTCCAACAGAAGTAGCTATGTATGAGATATACAGATGGATTCATAGTTTTTTATTGGTTGGAAAAACTTGGGCCTTCAATGAATCAAGGAAGGCTTCCAGTAGGTGGCAACTCCTGAAAAGTGTTTTGTGTAAGATAAGGATCATTGTAGAAGAGGAGAGAAGGTGGTATTTTTCGCAGAAGAGATGGCATGAGCAATTGAGCAATGTCTTAGTTAGGGTTTATATTGTGATAGAACACAATGATCAAAAAGCAAGTTGGGGTAAAAAGGGTTTATTTGGCTTATATTTCCATATACATGTTCATCACAGAAGGAAGTCAGGACAGGAACTCAAAATGGCAGGATCCTGGATGCAGAAGTCATGGAAGGGTGCTGCTTACTAGTTTGCTTTCCCTGACTTGCTCAGCCTACTTTCTCATAGAAGCTATTGTTCAACTTTAGGCTTGTAAGTACAAATTGTTGTAAACATCAGTATTGGCATCTTTGACTTGATTTAATCAAAGTAGCTTTCTGCAAGACTGTAGGCCTAAAGATCACTGCCTATTTCTCTCCTCAGGACCTCATCACAAATTTGTATTATTAGGCACCTACCACCATCTGTAGAGTCCTACTTGCTCAAGCACTTCATTTTAGCAGTTAGTCATTCTAATAACTCATTAAATAATAGCTCTTTCTCTGGGCATTAATATTTCCTGAAAGACTTTTACTAAAAGCATAGATCTGTCAAACAAGGTGACCTACTTTTATAAAATGGCAGGAGGAGAGATAGATGTGTTTAAGCATGTGACATTTTTTTTCTTACCTTTCAAATGAAAACTACTCCATTTTAAACTTAACTTTGATTATAATGTGTACTTTCTAATAAGCACTAAAAGGTTACCTTAAAATAGAGACCTATAGTAAGAAAGAAGGGACTTGATTTTGTCTGTCTCATCTCCTGGTGATTCAGAACAAGGAGCTTTTAGAGAAGCACATATATGTTAATATATATCTGTGGTTAAAGATGTTGTACTTGTGAAACGTAATTAAGAATGGTGCATAGTTTAACTACCATGTTCTAGCTGTGCAAGTGTTCACAGCATGTGCCCTGTCTACCACATCATTTATACGATAACAAGAGTAGCTGGGTCATGAGGTTGCTGTGATGATCAATGTGGTATATGTGTAAAGTACTTAGTATAATGTTTGATATTCTATTAGCTTTCTCCTATTATCATTGTAATTAGTATTGCAGCAATGTTACCTCAAGCACTAGTCACTCCAATGTTCCTACTCTAATAGGAAATACAGTTTTATACAGTCTTGCTAAGTCATGGACCAGCAAGCAACCATGGAGGAAAGGAAGAAACAGAAAGCTTACATCACTATTTTCTGTTTTTAATTTAACCATAGTATCCCAAAGGATGTGTCAATAACATACTTTTATTAGGGGAAAAGCTCATGGGGTCCCACTCCTAGACAAAGAACTACAGGGAACTAAGGGATGTTGAGGGATGTTGAGAGTAGGGCAGAAATAGTCTTCCCCTATGGAGCAATCCCATAGTTGGTTACCTAATTCCAAGTGGTCATCCCTGAAATCACACACACACACACACACACACACACACACACACACACACCAGAAGAAATGAGGAAAAAGTCCAGGAAAGAGGGAGCAAGTCGAGCTTGCAAGAAAGGAAAGGTAATAGAGGGAAATTATGTAATGGCATTTTAATTAAAAATGTACTTTCAGAGGTTATGTTTACAGTGAATTACCAAAAATGATATATGAGAAGAAAAACCAACCTTTATGCTTCTATCCCTGTTTCCACAGGAACTTGTAGACTTGGCTGGGCCTATTACTGTGCTGGGGGCGGAGCTGCTGCAGCCATGTTGATCTGTACCTGGCTCTCTTGCTTTGCTGGAAGAAATCCGAAGCCAGTCATGTTGGTGGAGAGCATCATGAGGAATACCAATTCTTATGCCATGGAACTTGATCACTGCCTCAAACCTTAAGCCTTAAAACAGAATTTACTTCCCACTTACTTTAAACCTTAGATGCTATTCAAGAGCAGTTCTATCCAGAGGTACTAGGAGATGCACTAATCTGGTTCCCATCCATTCTTATGCATGGTTCTCCCTCGAATATTTATTGTTACCCACTATCTCGAGTATTACTATGCAAAACTTTTGTGACTTTCTCAGGCCTACACTTCATCCTATTTTCCTCTCTCCTCATGCATGAGAAAGCTTGGTGGAAGGGTAACTTCTAGTGGGGAAAACACTAATCATGTTTGCTTGCATATAGTCTGGGGCACATTTAGAATGGTCATAGGATTTAATTTTCTAATCTTTCTGGGCAATTGGTATCAAAATATAATGGCAAGTGTTTCCCAATCCCTTCTAGATATGGAAATGTTGTTCATTGTATGTTTGGAGTAAAGTCTAACATTTGTGAGGTGTTCAATAAATATGCAATCATAGCAGTCATGGCAAGGATGTTTTTGCTGTACTCTCCTTGAAAATTTTACCTGAGTTTATTATGTGACTAGGAAGTCTGCAATGATATTTGTCTCAGTAATCATGTATAGTGTGATAGAAGCTGCTTTTCCTGCTTTATGACTGCTCTTCAAATCATCTTGCTGCCATCTGGGATGAGTTAGATATGAAGGGATACAGCCATGATGTCACCTAGAGCTGAAGTATTTTTAGGCCTGGCTTCTACCCCATCTGTGATCAAGGCTGATGTATGGTGTAGAATTTGGTCTCTCCCAGGGGGAAGTTATTCTCACCCCTTCCTTCAGCTAATTAAGGCCAGTGTTATTATTCCCTAACTCCACATTTAAGAACTAGGGAGGGACTGCAATTCAAAAGGCCAACTCATCTGTTTCTATTCCTAAACATTCCACCATGGATTTGGTCTATCTAGAGGGGAAAATCTAAAAAAGCTGCCCTGATTAATTGTAGAACATCCCATAAAGAGTCAGAGTTATTATACTTGCTTATGTATATATCTGAATTCAAGCATGCACTCCATTCATAGTCACTCATAATTAACTCATTTAGTCATTCATTTAGGAAGAATTTCTTAAATATTTGACATTCTGTACCAAGCAGTAAGCTTAAATGATGAAAACAGTTTCTCAGCCTAAAATGAATAGTGATAAGTTATCAACAGGCATGTCAATAAACAATTTCCAATGAGGTAAGTGCTAGGGAAGTTAAGGTGGGTGAGGAGGGGTTAAAGGATCACAGAGGAGCCACAAAACTAAGTTGGTAGCTTAAGGATCATAGGGAAGATTTTTCTTTTTGAGCATGAGAAGTTTATTGTGGGAAGGAAAGGAAGGAAAGGGAAAGAGGAGTGGAGAGTGGGGGAAGAGGGGGAGAGATAGGGAGAGGGAGAGAGAGAGAGGAGAGGAGAGAGAGAGAGAGGGAGAGGAGAAAGAGACAGAGACATGCCTGCCTACTCAGAGGAATAGCAGAAAGCAGGAAGTTTTTTTTTTTTAAATGATGGCAAAGATGTGTTTGAAAGACAAAGAGTTAAAATTACACAGGAGCAAAAGCACAGGGACAGTGTGAGGATGAAAAGAAAGCTTCAAATCAAACTGACCAAGATGGCTCTATCAGGGAACACTAGCCAGATTCCGTGCCACCCAAGGGAATGACTTTGCATTTTAACCTGAAAAAATACCAGTGAAAAGTAAGTGACATGAGTGCATTTGTGTTCTTCCAAAGATGTAGAGCAAAGAATGAAAGAGGATAGGGAGAGGCTAGAGATAGTTGCATAATCTTGGTGCAAATTGAATAAACTGAGAGCAAAGGATGGGAAGGGGGTATAAAGCCAACAAAATATATACATTGAACCTTTCTACATCAAAATGTTACCAAATCTAAACTAATTTAAGATTATTGTTCTCAAAAATAAATTCCAGAGTATTTCCTACTTTAGGCTTTTGGGGCAAGGGGGTTAAGAATGAGCAATTTACATAATCTATGCCAACAGTCCAAACCCAAGCAACTCTGAAAATTCAAAGAAAGCCTCAGCTGCATCATGAGTTCAAGACGAGCCTGAGATACATGAGAATTTGTCTTTAAAAAGTAAAATAACAAAAATTATTAAACAAAATAAAATATGATACCTTAAACAGGTATATTTATTTGTTGTTTATTATCTTGGACATAGGTAATTTGGCCCTCACTGAAGTATAGTAGTAAAATCTTAATACATAAGTGCAGTATTTTAGTTTCATATGTCAACATTTTATATGCTTGTGTGATTTTATAATTTCCTATGTCACTAAAACAATTGGCAAAATTTTTGTTCTCAAAGTAGAATTTTCAAAAGGAATCCAATAACACTAGACTTTTAATTACACTTTTATTTGTTTAATACATAACTTTTTAAATTAAACAAAGGGACTCCTGTGGCTCCAAGCACTTTGGATAAGTGATGCTCAATTCTATACATAGAAAGTCAGTTCTTCATCAACATATGTAATTGAGGCCAAGTAAAATTCAGATTGATCACTCTGTTATATGGGTGATGTCGAGATGAGGGTTATAGATCATAAGCAGCTGATGTTTAAATTCATGTCAAATATGAATTTCTCCTAGAACACAGATTGTTTTAATGTCTAAGGTTAAGCATGTTGACAAAACTTTCTGGAAAGCAGAATATCCTGAGGTCATAGAATCTACTTACCCAAGTAAGGTGACTCGGTATAGCTAAAACAAAACTGTAACCACCTCAATCCTAATATATATTTTATAAACATTGTAATTCAATCTTACTTTATGGGAGTGCAGTCTATGGAGAACATGTTAAATGGACTGGAAAAGACACATCATTCTCTTAGAAAAGGGCAACTCAACTAGGTGACTTCACTTTTTAGGCTATGGAAGTTTGTGCAATTCTATGGGATAGAATTTGTGCAGGTGAATGTACACACTAGTAACCTGGGACAAACACCTGCAACATACAAGGCATTTAGGTGAGATAAGTGTAGTGAAAGAATCACTTATGGTATATGTAGGATAAAGGACACCCACAAGCAATGCAAATTGATTAGAATAAAATTCCTAGTAACAGAAGGACTGCCGTCCCCATTTTTAAGACTGAAGAAACAAAGGGAATAAATGGCATTACTGGAACCCAGCAATAACTGTATTGGAAGAAAAATAAGGGGCTACCTGATAGGAGTTGTGGCTTTAAATAGCACAAAGCAGTTTCTGCCTAACTGGAACACAAAGGGAAGTAGATAGGGTATGAATATATTACTCATTCTCTTCCTGCTCTCTGATATTCATCCAATGCTCACCATTAGCCAGTCTCAGCCAGATGCTAGATGGCAAAGAAATCTTTGCTCTTGTCCATTGAAGTCAGCTTCCTTTAGTACATGTCGTACCAGGCAAGGTCAAAGAAGGATGCTTGGTGATATCTGGGTAAATGGAAAAGAACAACTCTATGAGGAGTTTGTACTCTCGCAATTAACATTTCCTATTATACTGCCTCCAAAGAATTTTCTGTTTAGCTGCCCTTTCAGTGCAGATATCCAAACACAGAATAGCAGCTGCATTGGCTGAGGTAGGGGTTGGAGGGCAGTGCTAAGAAGGAGAGTAATAATTTGAAGGAATCTTGAGGAAGGGGACTATGAGGAATAGAGGGAGAGAAAATTGCAGTGGGAATGTATTGAAAGCAAAAAGAGAAAGAACATTTAAAAAATTAGTTGTAGACTGAAGACAGAACATTTCCGTATGTTCTTTTAGGAAAATGGGACCATATTTGTAAAGGGGTTTCCTCTTATGAGTCAAACTGTCCTGAACACCCACATTTTCAGCATAAATTTAAAATTTCCCTCCATATAGCTGGTTCCATTCCACCAAGCATTATTTTGTCATAAATGTAGGACTTGCTTAGTTTCCTTTACCCCTTACCCTCACCCCATGGTATGGAATAGACTCTTGGATGCTAAATTTGTGTCTCCTCCCTACAATGGTGTGGAAAGAAAAAAGAAACCATAGGTCTGGTAAGATTCTGAATGAGTAAAATAGAGACTTCAGAGACACAAACTTTGAACAAGAAGGCTTCTGTGAATTAGAAACTTTACAATTCACAAAAGATCCCTTCAGAGTGTTCCATGGATACAGTAGTAGTCAACATCTCTATATCAAGATGTATGAGTCTGACTATTAGTTAAGGAAAGATGTTCAGCTCACAGTTGTTAAAGTTCAAGGTCATGATGCTTGCTTTGGCTCAGCTCAACAAGGCTCTATTGGTGGTATGATATGAGGATGATGGCAGCAGTTGAACTTAGAGGATACCTTCTTACAGGAGCTACAGACTCAAAATTTGGACTCAGGTTTTGATAGCAATATTTTCTCATGGAAACAGCAAGAAAACTATCTCAATCCCTTCTAAAAATATGTATCACAACACCCAAACATCCTGCTGGGTCTAACCCATTAAAAAGAACCCTCTCCTTACACCAAGTTTTCCATTCACAAACCTTTGGTTGAGAGAAAAACCACATCTTAACCAGGGCAATTGTTTTCTTTTAGAGTCTAGGATTCACTCTCCATAGCAATGCAAATGTGTACCAGCTTCAAGATTGGCTTTGTCCCAAGACAGCTTAGAGATGGGAGGAAAAAAAGAAGTTTCAAAGAAATTAAGAGTGGATGCATTTTATAAGAGGTGCAAGGTATCCTACTTGGTGGCCTGGGGGGAAAGGCATGCTATTTCTAGAGCTCACAATCAGTCTCCAACCAGGCCCAGTAAGCAGGATCCTTCCAAGGAGTCATCTCCACTCTGTGTCCTTGGATTGAGAATATTTTCAGAACTGGAGGGGGTAGAACTGAAAGATAATTTATCCCTGGCCTGTCCCTCAGATGTAGAGAGAAGCATTTTTAGCTTCAATTTTCTTTTTGTCTACTTATGAGATTAGACTCTCCCAGGGTTGATCTCTTTTCTAAATGCATCAAACCCCCACTGAGTCCTCAAAGCTAACAGCAAATAAATACTTGCTATGTGTGCACACAAATGATTTAGACTTTCATTATATAGAGCTGCTGATATGTAAGGAGGCAGAAGTAGGAGGAAACAAAAAAAAATGTTTGCCTGGTTTTGCCTGCAGTGCTATATGCTGCTGCTTCTCCTTCTCCAAAAGGAAGGCCTAGAAGATAGTACTTGGGAATGGGGATGGCACCCTGGTATTGGCCCCCTTTCCTATAGTCCCTCTACTATTTGAGAGGTGCTAGGCAGTTACAGATGGGATGCAGCTAAGAGTTGAAGAGGAAAAACTAAATGAAGAACTAAACATCTTCCTTTCAGAAAAACCATGCTGCCTCCAACTCTTCTCTGCTAGAATCACATTTGGGGCAGTTTTCCTTAATAAGACATCTCTTACTATCATGTGCATTAGAAGACAAGGCAACAAGGCACAGTGAATTTGACTCAGGTTTTTATAATCAGACACATCTAGGACTAGTC